CCCCAGCAGCTAATTGCTGCCACCAGCTTCTCTCAGGGGGGCACAACCAATCTCAGGGGGTGCATGTGCACATGCATGCACACATGCATGCACTCCCTGTGCGTCACCAATGCCAGGGGCCACATGAATCAGGGACAAATTTGGCAGAAGCTGGGAGAGTGTTAAAACCTGAGCTATGCAGCTTGCAAAGAAAGAATCAGTGACACTTAAGAGTGAACTCTGATCATCCTCCATGCAGCCTGTATTCAGCCCTGATTCTGGAAAAATCTCCCCCCCACCCCCCTTCTACCTTTCCCAAAACATGGTTTGTGTCTTATTTGGGGGCATGTGGTATGCAATAAAATATGGTATTACACTTTCTAACTGTTTATTCTTTAGAATGACCCGAGTCCTGATGCAATTCCTTAAAAGGACCAAATGCCTGTTCTCACAAATATCTTCAAAAACTTAAGAACTTAAGAAATTTCACTATCACTTGTAATCTAAAATGATACTTCTTGTTAAAGCTAGTATTATTTTCTTTCACAGAATTTTGCCATTGATATGCATCTATCTCTTTATATACTTTTGTAATATAGCATATTATTAAGCAACTAAGCTGACTAAATTGACTATAATTGAGATCTTTGTTCTGAAGGTAATCATTTCTTCAGTGTTTAATACCCAGTGTGTAAAGGATGTAAGCAAAGGATAATAATAATTACTGTGTGAATAAGAGGTACCTTGAAGAACACCAGATAACACAATCTCACTCTGTGGAAAATGTTTAAACTTAGAGTAGACTGTTTTCTCTAGGGAGCAAGATACCCTGAGTATTTTACTAAAAAAAGTTTTGATAGTCCTTTCTTTACTTGTAATTCACTCTATACTTCAAATATGTTCCTATCACAAATAAATTGTAAAACTTTAATATTGCCTTGTTACATCTTGATAGTAAAAAACAGTGGAACTTATTAAGTTTCTATCATATTAGAATGTAGTATTTTTGATTAACAATCTTATGGGATCTATTCTCATATTCACAGAAAGTTTTTACAGGACCCAAGTTTTTTTTTTAAAGCAGCAGTAACATTTTAATCAGTTAATTTATCTGTACAGTTTAATTGATAGAAGGCATTATTTTATCCCATAATGATCATATTTTACCTGAATCCAAGATTACTCTGAATTTAAGATGAACAACCAAAAATTAAGATTGTAGACATGGAAAATTAATACATTTGTTATAGATTTTCCATGTCTAGAAATTAAATTCTCCCCCCACAACCCCCCATCCCCACTGGGACAAGCAGCAGCAGCAGAGCAGGCAGCAGAGGAGTTAAGTGTCAAGATCCTGCCCCTTGCCACCTGTCCCCTTGCTCCCTCCCATGATGCCTGGACACCCCATGTCTGCCCCTGTGGTGCTTGCACCCCCTCTACCCACCCCCATCCATCTGCTCATCCCAGTGCCTGCCCTCCTTCACCTACCCCTCTGTGCCACCCCCTGATGCCTGCCCCTCCCACCCCCACAGTACCTGTACCCCTGGGCACCTCCTCCTCACCAATTTGCCTCCCCACTGCCTGCCCCTCCCCACAGCGATTCCACCATGCACTGCCTCCCCCCTGCTGCTTATTCCCTTACCTTTCTCCACCAACACCTTGCAGCTCTGACACTTGCTGGGGCCAGATCCAGCAAGGGCAGGGAACACGAAGCACATGTTGCCTCCAGTCCCACCCCAGCCACACAGAAGCAGCAGCTCCATGCTCCCTGACTGGACTGGGACCCCAGCAGGTGCCAGGGCTGCGAGGGCAGGTAAGAGGAAGCAGGGAATACAGGCTTTGGGAGGCAGTGACTATGACTCTAACTCTGACCCTGGCCTTGGAGTTAGAGCAGCAGCTGCTGCTTTCCCCTCCAGCCTGTACTCAAATCCAATACAAGGGGCTGTCCCCCATCCCTGTCACCCCCAGCATGTTGAATGGGGAAAAAAACCTCACCTTTGATTCAAGTAAATACAATATTACATTTCCTTGCAGATAGAAATGAAAATCACTCTCCTCTGACTGGAGCTCTTCAAGGTGAATTCTGCATATTCTCAGACAGTGAGACCTGCGTCCGTTAGAATAGCCTTGCATCCTGTCCTCACTGTTCCTGCCCCAACACTGACATGTCTTCTCCCTCCCTATGCATCTGACCCTGCAGACCACCCAAGTCCCAGCAAGCTCCACTGGCCAACATACAGCAATATCATATTATGTAACCTTCAAGCTTATTTAGGAAATATATAGATATACCACTTCCCTTCGTAGTAACTTACCAATGGCCTTCGTGTAATGCCTGGCACCAAGTAACAGTTCTGGAGCTCTGTACCAGAATGTCACCACGACTGGATCCAAATCTGCTAATGGTTTTAGAGGTGAATTGAACAATCTGGCAAAACCCATGTCAGCTGGAAAATGAATATTAAGACTCTTATTTGACTGTACATAATGAATCATAAAATAACAAGAACAGTGCTGCTATTTTGTTGTCTCTTTATTAGTGGAAAATATGACCTAATAAACACCGACCATTACAAAATCACAGTTAACTAGATACCAAGTTGAATTTCTTCAAATAACCCTGGCCCCAATTCATCACTAAACACTTGGAATAAATTTGTCTCATTTAAGTGGCTTCATCGTGGAACTATAATACAGTACACAAAATTGTAGTACAATACTACTATTGTCCAAATGAGCTCTGGAAATTATTCAAGAGGCAAGGATTTTTTTTTTTACCAACTATCAGACCAGTTATGCAAACTTTCAAATGCAAGAAATTCTTCATCGGGTCTCTGATTACAGGAAGCCGGAAACTGCTCAGGTTAATTTCCTTGCCCCAATTAAGTTTATGCCCATAAAACTAAAATGTACTTGCCCCTTCCCCTTTTTAGTGAATTAACTGCTTTTGAAAGCTTCTGAACCAAGAGCTCTTGTGACTGATAGCTATTTACCTATGGAACGAGACTAGGATTATCACAGTATAAACTTCCTTAATACTAATTTGGAGAAATCATTTAAAGAGGCAAGAAGTTAGACCAGTCAGTGCCTTGACAAAGCATTACCCACTGACTTCAACTAGCTCTAAGAGTAAGAACGCTTTAAAAGTAAGAAGACTGAAAAATTGGCCCCTAAATTCTGTCATAAGTCAATGAATACCAGTTAAAGGATATTGTTACAGAGATAAATTTGGAATGCAATCAACTTGCATAACTCAAAAATGATACAATAGTACTGAAGATAAGGAGTTATCTAGGCATGTACTTGTTAATAATGATAAAAACACTAGGAAGGAATTAAAAGTGTGAATTCTGAATAAACACTCCAGGATGTGGACTGCTTGGACCCCAATTATATTCTATATTTTATTCTATGTGCCTGGAGCATGCAGGCTGCAGACTGTGGCTCTGCCCCAGCTCCAGACCATGCTGTCACTGTGCAAGGAGTTGAGGCAAAGCCACGACCTGCTGCCTGCATGCCCCTGCCCGGAGCATGTAGGCTGCAGATTGCAGCTCTGTCCTGGCTCAGGACCACACTGTCACCCCTACAAGATCCCAGCCCAACCCCAGAGCAGCTCCCTGCCAGCACTGCTGGGGCCGGTGTCTACAGAAACCCAGGCCCCATGCTAGCACAGCGCAGCTGCTGCTGGAGTCTCCACAGAAACCGGCCCCAGACAGCTGGGCAGGGGTGGCTGGGAAATGGAGACCACTGCTGGCTAGATCCAACCCTCAAGCCAGACTTTGCCCACCCCACCCTACATAGTGAAACTGACTTAACTAATTTTAACTAATTTAACATAATTATTTCTCTGCAGTTCTTTAAAAAATATCAAATATTTTAAAGTACTTTTCTAGAAACTGCCTACACAATAAAGTCAAGCATTGTTAAATTCAGCAACCTGGAATGCAGAGTGCCAGACTATACTAAGCAAGAGATTTTTCTAGTCAAGTAAACTATTGTATTTTCTCACACACCACATACCCCCAAATAAGACATGCACTTTGCTTTTGGAAGGGAAAATGCAGGGGAAAAGTTTTTTCAGTCACGGCCAACTATGTGTCAGAGTAAGTCCTCCAGGAAACAGTGTCCAGAAAGTGTGGCATCCCAGGAGACAAGTCTGGGTGAGGCAACAAGACTAGGCCCCAGACCCTTGCAAAAGCACTGGCAAGACCAACTTCTTCACTGCAAACAGCCCTTACATAAGCTCCAGTAAATAGTATTGTTGTTTCCATACAACAAGCCTCATGATACTACAGACCACATGCAACAGCTAAGCCAGCTCAGTTGCAGCTAATAGTTACTGCAGCTGTGAAATGTGAACATGGGACTGTCCTTGTTGCTGGGACAGACAAGGAGGAGCCATTTTGGGAGCCATTAGAGCACTGTTTCTGTTTGTTTCTATTCAACCCTGCTTCTATTCCTGCAAAGACAAAAACAAAACAAAAACAAACCAGCTTTTCTGCTTAAGACAGCCCCAGTTTTGGAGAACTGGTTTTGAGGGAAAAGGTAAATGTGGTATGTGAGTAAATGCAGTGCCTCCAACTGTCACCAGTGCAAAAAAGTTTCATAATAGTTGCAGGAATTCCTAGGCTGGATGGTATTAATAAGGTAATGGGTAGACAATTTATTCACCCTATGGTAAGAGAAGGTGGGGATTTATTGCACATCTGCTACAGAGTAACCACCATTGTGCATGATTTACCCTGTGGTAGGTGAAAGCAAAACTCTAATAGCTTAGCCCTCAATCCTTTCACCTCCCTCAGGACAAGTTACCAGTCACCTTGAAGTAGCTACTTAATCTGCACGTACCCTTACATGCCCATAGGGAAATTTCTATTTGTGTGCAGGCAGTCAGTCGCTGATTTGTGCTGAAGAATCAAAATGTTTATAGCTCCTGCATTTTATCTTATCTAATGGACCTACAGATGCCATTATTATTCATATACACGTCTACACTATTTTTTTGAAAACTGCCAACCTCTTAAGACTGACTCATTGACAGAGGTCCACAGTTTGTCATGTTGCATACAGATTCCTTTAAAAACAACATGGATTTTACTTTACATTATGTCAAATAATATTTTTAATTATGTGTTGCACAGCTAATGAAAGCATTATTGAAAAGCATTACCTATTTTGACTCTTCCTCTTTCAGGACCTTCTCCCATTACCAGAATGTTTGCTGGTTTCTGGAAAACAAAAAGGAGAAACTCAACTGACCAATACCGCACGATGAATACCCATCAGAAATCTCCCCCTCCCTAATACTTTTACCAGACACCATCTAAAAGTATAGCATGATCAACCTCTGTCAATACCTGAAAATAAGGATCTGGTCCCAGCCATGGGACTCAAAAAAACAAGGCTAGATGTCTAGCTTCATATGTAGTCAATGGGGAAACATGGGACACCTCCAAAAGATAATTGAGAGAACTCAGATGCTGAGCACAGAGCTACGCACAGGTGACCATGAGGAAACACTAAACTGGTAAATATGTCTGAGGTCCAGCCCCAGCTGACTCAGGGCTATAGGAATCCCCATCCACCCAGTCAGAATGGCCAAGTGCAATGCATCTAACTGACAGGATACTTCTAATTTTCAGCCCAGTTACCTAGTTGTTGGAACATTCACCCGGGAAGTGCGAGACCAGGGTTCTGGGCTCTCCTCAGCCTGAGGTGATTCAAACTTATGTCTCCCATTTCTCAGCAGAGTGCCCTAACCACCTGGCTACTTAATATTCTGGGTCAGGGTGCTCTCCATACCACTTGTCAAAGCTGGACTTTTTTTTGTTTGTTTTGGATTTAGGCACCCATAATATGCTAAGTACTCCTGTAGGTGCATACAGCGCTCCTCTGTATCCCACTCTATCCCTACAGGTTTTCTATCTGCATGAGATTTTCTCAAAGTGATTTAGCAGAGGATGCAATCATCAGGAAGGGTGTTAATTTTAGCCCACAGTTATTTGCAGAAATAAAGCATGGGCTTTTCAGTAATCTAAAAGATGGCAAAGACAATGTTTGATCTGTGGTCACACACAAAGCCAGTTCTTTCACCTGTAATGGAATATGCCATTTAAAAGGGCAAACTTCTGCTTGAAATATAAAATGGGCAATAGCAAACACTGTCCAAGTTCAAAGCATCTGAGAAGTTGAAGTATATAGTACAGTAGATGTATAAAGACAGTTATTATGTAGGTATATTCAAAGTAGCTATCTCAAGTGGAAAAGATGTGGAGCACAGAATATCATTTATTATATATCTGTATATTAGCAGCACATACTAAATAAGCTGCTATCACAAGCTGATACCAGAAGCTAACATTGGGTTTCTAGTGGAGGTCAGGCCCAACTTTACTTCAAACTCCTAAATAATTTCATAAAGTGTCAAAATATTGTTTCTAGCAAGTCAGCAGGATGTCGGTAGCATCAGGTAATCTGCAGTTTGTGGCAATATAATACAAGGCTCCAATTCAAAAGCATGTCCAAAGAGCACATTGGTCTAACTATCAAGGCAAAACTTGTGTGGTTCACAAGTTTGGAAGACCCTTTGAAATGGACGACTCCTTGAAAAAATGTCTTAGCAAAAGAGTCATTAGAAAATATGTCACACTACTTTTACTGTATTTAGTATTTAATCCTTTTCATCTCTGTGTATCTACAGTGTAAACATTCTTAAAGCATCACAACTGCAGAGTGCTCTAACGAAAGTACAGCATTAGCTAGACGCTGATTCTTATTTAGCCTCTGACAGAGACAAGAACACAAATGCATGTTAAGAAATTTTCTTTAGGACAAATTTTCACCTCTTAGGCTGTGCCCAGACAAGAGAGAATGTGCCTGCTGTGGCGTCTCAAAGCAGTTTGAGACACTGCAAGAGGCATGCTAGGAACGAAAAAAATGTTCCCTTCACTGCATATTTGCAGTGTGGACTCTAGATTTGATACCAGGAAATCCTGGGATAAAAAACAAACAAACAAAAAAAAACCATGCCAGAAAAAAGATGCTCAGGGAGTAACCCAGGAGTGTGCCCAGAAACAACCAGAGGCTGGGTCCCCCAAGGAGACACTCTGGCATCCATCCAGAGCATCTCTATGGCTTCCCCATGCCCCTGCTGCTCCAACATGCTTCCTTAGGCTGATGGGGCAAATATTAGTGGAGCAAGGCTGCAGCAGTGGCTTGGACCCAGACTGTCCCAGGCAAGTAGGGATATGCGGGTAGGGGAGGACCCACTTGGGGGGTGTGATGGGCTGGGGCGAGGGCTAGAAGTGGCAGCAGGGGTGTGTGTATGATACATAGGGGTTGGGGATGGAGGATTGCTCTGGATAGGAGGGGCCGCCAAAAGTGGACTTGGAGCCCCCTTGTCACCCTAGAGCAGCCTGTGGGGGCAGGGGGGGAAGAAGGGACAGGAAAGGAAGGGAAGGGAAGGGGCTTGCCCAACTCAATCCCTGAGCCCCAGTTGAAGGCTTCTCAGGAACACCATGGGGATTGCTGGGGCCTGGCCACAGGCACAGGGGGCAGAACAGCAAGAGCTGGCACTGCTAAGCACCACAAAGCAGAGGGTGGGACAGCTGCAGCTGGACTCATGTTCAGGTGTTGGGATCGAGCTGAGGCCAGGAGAGAGCTGGTGGGGGCAGGCAGGGACTGAGGGTCAGGAGTGAGGGGCACTGGTGGGGCTGTGGATTGGAAGCGAGAGGCACGGGTAGGGGCAGGACACTGGCATATCAGTGCTGCTCAGCGCCCCACATCCTAGTGAGGGAAGGGGGTGGGGGCAGCTCTGATTTTTCTATGATAAAAAAAACCAAAAGCAAATGCCAAAGTGTACAGATATTTAGAACCTGTTTTATGATGACAGAAGCACTAATAGGCTTCCAAACTGCTTTAAAATCATAAATAGATCAATAAAACATTGCCCTCTATATGCAGGCATATTGCTCTCTCTGTATGCAGTGGTGTTTCATTTTGATCATGGAAGAACACAGATTTGGGGTATTTTAATGAGAGAATTTGGGTTTTTTAAATCAGAGAAGCTGCAATTTTTAAATAGGGAACACCAGGATTTCTGCTAGTGAGGCAAGTGGCGGGACCCGGGCAGAGGAGTCCATGCAGGGCCAGCAGCGGGGACGCAGCTGGAGGGCAAATGAGTTGGCTGACCTGCTGGCCATTTGGGGCCAGGAGGACATGCTTCAACAATCTGAAGTGCGCCACTGCAACAAGCACATCTTCTGGGCAACAGCTGCCCAGATGGCAAAGTGGGGGCACCAAAAGACATGACCGCTGTGCCACCCAAAGGCCAATTGTGCAGCCAGGGTCTGCTGGTAGCTAGCCCAGAGTGCAGTGCCCATATCACAGCCCAGGTGGCTGTGCAGACCCCATCTGGGTCCGGCAGGCATACAACCATAGGATCGCAGGTCCAAGGTGATGCTGTCGTAGGTGACAGCAGGTCGCAAACAGGCAGCAGCCCCCAATGCCAGACTGCTGCAGTGAGTAGAGGGCACGGGGGTACTCTAGGTTAGGGCTGCTTCAGCAGTCCAGCTGGCACAAGGGGCTAGAGTACCCAGATACCAACTGGCCGGGCTTCAGAAGCTCTGAGCTGCTCACCAGGCATAGGCGATGCATAGGCTCTCACCGGCTGGGGAGTGAGAGGCGATGGCTAGTGTTCCCCCTAAGAATGTGGGGATGCTAAGAGAAGCCTCCCTTGGTCAGCGATTAGCCACTGGGGACCCCCACGCCCCATGCTGTCAATGATCAGCCGCTGGTGCCCCCCCAGGATCAGGAGGCACCAGTCACCCATGTCACCAGGGCAGCTTTTTATACTGCTGGGGCCAACACAGGCAGCAGGCCCATGTGCACCACCCAGGTGGCTGAAGACCTAGGAGGAGCTAGGCAGGGTCAGTTTGCCTCAAGTAATACAATTTGCCCCAGACCAAAGTGCATGTTCAGCCATGTGTGCTGAGGCACAAATCTCCAGCACAAATTTGTGCAGCTGCTGTTTGACCTCCTGCAAGTTCACATGCCTGCAGATGTGGATGTGCCCTTATAGCTGAAGAAAAGACTGCAAATCTGAAAGTTCCTATATCCTCTTATTTCCATACTAGTATAAGTTACATATCAAGGAGTGCCTAACTTAAGCTTTTTTTTTTTGTTTTCAAATACATGTACCTCACAGCATCTTTGCAGTGCTGCTTTGAGAACTGTGGCAAATTTGAGAGGAACAAAAACACAGAAAGCAAAGTAAGTGTCACAGACTGTGCAAGGGACATTCTGATTACCTAAGTACTAGAAGTAGAAGATTTTTATCTTGGAGTAGATTTCCAAGTATAAGCAATAATTTAAAAAACAAACTAAAAAACTGGTGCAGATAGACCTACCACATGTAAAAATTAACAGTGGGAAAATGCAACCTATAAACTTAAGGATAGATCATTCAGCTGGGACAAACCATCATGGCCCCAGTGCAATTTTTTGAAGTATAGTTCCACTCCAAAAAACACTAGTCAAACTTGTAACCTTCTTACTCAACAGACAGGATTCTGAATACCCTCCGAATTCAATCGATTTATCTTAAGGTTCAAGTAAAATTTTATTATATTCTACTACTGCTAAAAATCACAGAATTAATACTGTCCCAGAAAAGTACGCAAATTCCATTCAGGAACCCTTCACCATCTGAACTGTTAGCCTAAGCACTAGCCAACAGTCTAGTCACTGACTAGGTATCTAGTTTGTAGGCATCACTGTGTATAAGCAGAAATGCCTAAGGGGCCAATCTGGATTTTGCACCAAATGCCTGACCAAAGGATCTTACTGTTGCATACAATATTACTAAACACTTCTGCAGATCTTCATATGTAAGCTATGAAATACATCAATATTTCAGTATGAAAAGTGATGCTGTAAAAAGAATATTGTAAGGTTCTATTTTTATTGTCTTTCAAATGCTTCCAAGTAAATTTGTCCTGTTTATAAACAAAGAGATTTGCAATATAAGAGCCAGCCTTACAGATTCAACCTGGTATCCAAAGATCAAGCCTCATCCTTTACAGCTCACCTTTCAAATCACAGCAATAAAATTTGAAACTGGATTGAGAATGCAATCCAACTCTTCCTCCTAGAAATGTATGGGGTCTTTAATGGCAGTGTCACTAACAGAGGCATAACATAATTCAAAAGAGGGAGCAGATCTGTTGGT